CACAAAACACAAAAACAAAACACCCACAAACTTGTCTCACTACAACGTAGCACCAAAAATATGACTCGCAGCTCGAGCTTGACACAGCTGCTGTAACATAAGACTGACATCCAGCTAACCACAGCCAAAAAGATATTTAGAGAAAACTTACCATTTCCTCAGGTTACACGAGTTGAGTTGTTTCACGCTGAAAAGTTGGTTTGTCTTGGCTCTCACTTAAGACACCAACACTGAAGACATAGCTGTTCTTTTGTACTGCTTTTAAGCGAAACATCCTTTGTATGTGAGGAATATGCTGTTCATCCTCTTCAGCCCTAGCGTAGACAATTGGCTCTGCCCGCCACAGTTTCAAACTGGTCATGTGACTGCATGGCCACATCTCATTGGTAAAAAAGTTACCAGAAACTCCACCAGTGGCATGTTATCTAATGACTAAAGTATTTTTTTAAAAAGTAATGAGTCGAATTTTGCAAATGTAGCGGAGTAAAAGTACTGTTTCTTCTTCACAAATGTACTCAAGTAAAAGTAAAAAGTATTGTGCAAAAAAAGGTACTTTAAAAGTACATTTTTTTCAAAAACTTACTCAAGTAAATGTAACGGAGTAAATTTAACTCGTTACTACCCATCTCTGCCTATTCCCAAATGACTGCTCCTGCACTACTGCTCATACCATGGCTGCAGTGCAGCTCCATAAACTACCTGAGCAAGAACCATAAAACCAAACATTTTTCTTTTTGTTCTTTTTTTGTTCTTTTCGTTGCCCATTATGAAATCCATGCCCCCAATCGGAAAGCAAGGACACACCATCACAGGAAAAATACCACTTACTAGGTTGCTCCGCACCCAAATTCGATGGAGGGGGGCGGGCACATAGGTCATTCCAACGCTTCTCACAATAACGTCAGTGCCACTGGCAGTCTTCTCATCAATAGTGATGTGCGATACCACTGATTTTCTTTCCGATCCGATACCAAGTAATATTCAGGGTGGTATCGACGATACTGATCCGATACCGATACTTTGTACAAAAA